CGTGCAAGTTTAAGACCAAACAGCATCGAGACTTTACAAGCAACACCACAGGAAATCCGCCCTCCCCAATTTAGCTGTAGCATACTACATCCAACAAAGTCAAACACTCTGGCCGTCGCTACTTTATCTTTGCTTCCATGCGTCTGCTGCTGAATCCCTCATTACTTGCCACAGACATCACAGCTTGTCCTTGTCTTTCTTGTCATCCTTCTTGTCATCGTCCTACACACCGGGGGAAGCCAGTGTCACAAATTACAACGACACGAAAGCTGTCCACTCGCATGCATGCGGTCACATGCAAATGATGCGTTCATCACTTAAATGAGAACGGCCGCAGTCACAGAATCCCTATTGATGCGATCACGGCGTGTCCTTGATCATCTTGTCGTCATCCTTCTTATCATCGTCCTGTCCGTTGAATCATGACAGAAGTCACGGAGCGTAGAAGTGTTGTTGACAGCCTTCAGCCACTTCTTTCATACAATCTGCGAAGACTACTTGAGATGCTGGTTGAGATGACACTTTGCCCATGCGAGATGTGATGAGATGTGGTGAGCACATGGGACCACGCCAAATAGGACCTGCTTAGCTGCGGCTGTTCAAAGGTTTAACTGTCCCCCAACAGCTTCCCAGTGCTTGCTCAATCCCAAGTTGAAGTCCTTTCTCCGACGCATCCAGCCATCGTCGTCCTGCAGCCAAGTGTGCTATCATGCCTTTCGTCCGAGCTCCCCTGCATGCAGAGGACCGCGCTGGTTCAGCAACCTTTCAAGGGATTTTGGGGCATAAGGATGTGAGGGCCTGCTATTAGGTCCTTGGCAAAAAATGTCAATCATAGTATACTTAACGCGCGCTTTCTTTCTGCGCCATTACCAGGGGTCTGCAGGCAAGAAGGGTTGGCTCGGAAATTTTGTTGGCCAAAACCCTGGTCACACACGACTAACATCACATGTGCACTGCGGCACTCAGCAGGTTTGAGTTTCATGCATTTCCCAATCCCGAGTTGCAGTCCTTTCGGCGACGCACCCAGAAATCGTCGTCCTGCGACCATGTGAAAGGACTTGGATTGCCGATTGCCTGGGAGATCCCTTGAACCTATCCTTCAAGACCGAACATCAATCACACTTTAGAAGCAAAACCACAGGAATTCCCCCCTTCACCAATTCAGTCCTAGCATGCTACATCCAAGAAAATCCAAAAATCTGGCAGTCGCTACTTCCTCTTTGCTTCCATGCGTCTGCTGCTGAATCCCGCCTTGTCCCCTACTTGACCGGCCACAAACATCCCAGCTTGTCCTTGTTCCTCTTGTCGTCGTCCTTCTTATCATCGTCCTGCACATTGTAAGAAGCCAACGGTACGAATCACAGAAACACTAGCAGCGTCTCGCGGCAGGTACACGCTCCAGTGCAAATCAGTTTCCAAATCTACACGCAAAACACGTGACAGGCGAGCATCCTACTTGGTGATCTTGATCATGCAGCTTATGTTTCGCACTTCGACCCTGAAATCCGATAATCCAAGCTTGCAGTACACGTTTCTTGCATTGATTCTCCGTTCTTCATGCCTACACCCCTAAACCCTACCTGAACCCCAACAGTATGTAAAATAATTCCAGGTAAGCCCTACGTTCCCTAGTCGCTGAACCTTACATCCCCGAAGCCCTGGATGCCATATTCGTTACACCCTAAACCCTCCATTCCTTATGTGAACTATAGTCTTAACTCCTAGTATCCCCCTTAATAACCGCTGTAGTAGCCCCCTATATAACCCTCTTTAAGGGGTTAGACTATAGCTTATGCATCTCCATAAGGCCCCGGGCATGACACAAGGCGCAACCTGGACGCTAAGGGTTCAGGGTTTAGGGTTACAGAAATTTCGGGTGGTTGGACCTTTGCCATTTCTCCTCTAACCCTAAGCCCAAAAACGTATAGTCTTTCTTGAATCGAACAGGGCTCTGGGTATACGTGGTACGATAGAGAATTCGAGCAAGCTTATACACATCGTACATTGGTACAGATTGTTCATGGTTCCGGCAACTTGCTTTGGTGCTTTCCGGGCACACTCTCCTTCAACATCATCATTTTACCCTGAGCGTTGGCTCGAAACCAACCTGGGAAAACATCTACGACAATTGGCGCATTCTCAATTGGCAGGCGAACTTTGTCCTTCCGTTTGCCATCATCGTCCTGCCAGCGCAAGCCCAAACAGTTTTGACAGCGGACACGGCATCAACTGCCGGCGCTCAAAAATTGTCCTTCTTCTTGCCATCGTCATCCTTCTTCTTGCCATCATCATCCTGCCAATGCAGAACTTGTGCCCAAGCAGTCTTGACAACAGATCATCCTGCCAATGCAGAACTCGTGCCCAAGCAGTCTTGACAACAGACCCACCGTGAACCGCTATGAACTGATATGCAAGCTGTGTCCCGCTTCTTGCCATCATCGTCCTTCGGACCTCTGACCTGCCAAGGCACCCAATACAGCCTTGTGCAACTTAAATGAAGTTACGATTACTAAGGAAACCACATCGTTTACTGTGTATACCCATGTTGTGAGATGGGCAACCGGCCTTGCAATCTGGGCAGCTTTCCTCATAGGTCTCAAGGATGTTCTTCACGTCCGAGAACTTTGCCATGCAGCCCTTAATACAAGATAGCTCACGATCCCCTTTGCACCGCAGGCCATCGTCGCAAATCTTCCTGCAGTAGTAGGAGGGGCTTCCTTACATCAACGCTGTTGCATGCTGCATCATGCGACCACCCGACACGACAAAGACCTTACAAAGCCTTACAAACTTTTTGCTATCTCAGGTTCGGCATTTGCAGCGAGTCTCGCTGGATTCCTCGCTGGACGCCTCGTTGTTCTGCTGGACCTCCGTCATCGCGTGCGCGCGGAAGTGCAAGAGGCCAACGTCCTCAGTTTCCTGAAGCAGGTGATACTCGGAGCAGAGGCCGCACCTGCAAAAGGTCCGCGTGATCTTCCGAGCATTGCTGTCACAGTCTGCCCGGCATTGCGCCCCAGCAAAGCCGAGGTCACAGATTGCGTCGCAAAACCTTAGTGCTCTGAAGCAGCAGCTTTATGCCCCAGGCTTTTGCTCATTTCGCTCTACTCGCGCTTCTACCTGCGACCTGCCTCGCTTGCTGCTCCCAGCTTTCTCTGCCTATGTAGACTCTGGGCTCAACTTGCAAGATTCATCAGGTTCTTCGTAATTAGTTACTATGTTGAGCCAGGACACCCTCCATCCTCGC